TTTCTCCTTGCTGACTGATTTTCTGTGCAGTTTGCATGCGCTCAGGGATCAGTGTTCCCTCTAAGCTGAGTTAGGGTGAGCGAGCTCACAGTTTTTTAGCCTCCGGCTCACACATTTTTGTCTTAGCTCAGGAAGGAGAGCTCCAGAGCACACTAATTTATGCAACAGCCAAATCTCTTGCTCACAACTTTAATGCCAGAGAGCCAGTTTGGTGTAGTGGTTAAGTGTGTGGACTCTAATCTAGGAGAACCGGGTTTGATTCCCCACTCCTCCACTTGCACCTGCTGATGTGACCTTGGGTCAGTCACAAGCTCTGGCACAGCTGTCCTTGAAAAAGAGCAGTTTCTGTCAAGAGCTCTCTCAGCCCCACCCACCTCACAGGGTGTCTGTTGTGGGGAGGGGAAGGGAAAGGAGTTTGTAAACCGCTCTGAGACTCCAAGTGAAGGGCGGGGTATAAATCCAATCTCTTCTCTTCTTCTCACAAAGTAGGATTTTTGCTCACAAAACTCCACAGCTTAGAGGGAGCACTGCTCAGGATGTCTAAAAATATGCTTCAGTCCTAACCATATTTATGCCAATAAGTCCTATTTGAATATAATGGAACGTCGATACAAGAAAAAGCCATTGAAGCCTTAGAAACCCCACCCCCCTTTTGAACTGGAGTAGAAAGCCAGTATTTCGGGCTTTCTACTCTTGAAAATACTGATCCTCCACTCCATGGTTCCTTGTTTGCTCTCTGTTCTGATTTGCAAAACTTGGATGGAATGGCTTCAGTATTTCCCAGTGGACTGTGTATTGCCATTTGAATGTACAGTCATTCATAATGCCACTGAACAGCATGTGGTTTTTAACTTTCTCAGCTTTCTCCATGATTGTCCTGCTGTGTAAACGAATGCATTTTTTTTTTGCTGCAACTCTGTTTCATTCAAGATTTAGTTTCTGAGCATATTTCAATAGTAGCACAGATTAGCAGGACGCTCATCACTGCCGTTAGAACATTCTAAAGAAAAGTGCTTTGTAACAATTGGCATGAGCGCACCAGTTTTAAAGCTGTCTCAGAAATCGGGTTGCCAGCCTCCAGTTTGCTCACAAGACTCCACAGCTTAGAGGGAGCATTGCTGGAGATTAGCAGGACACTCATCATTGCCGTTAGAACATTCTAAAGAAAAGTGCTTTGTAGCAATTGGCACGAGCGCACCAGTTCTAAAGCTGTCTCAGAAATCGGGTTGCCAGCCTCCAGCTGACGGCTGGAGATCTCCTGAAATTACAACCAATCTCCAGACGACATGAATAATGTATTATTTATTTGTTAGGAAATGGCTACTTTGGAGGGGGGACTGCACGGCGTTATACCCTACCGAGGTCCTTCCCCTCCTTAAATCCTACTCTCCCAGACAGTTTGGTGTAGTGGTTAGATGTGCGGACTCTAATCTGGGAGAACCAGGTTTGATTCCCCATTCTTCCACATGCAGCTGCTGGTGACCTTGGGTCAGTCACAAGTTCTCTCGGAGCTGTTCTCTCACAGGCAGTTCTCAAAAGGGCTCCCTCAGCCCCACCTACCTCACAGGGGAGGGGAAGGGAAAGGAGATTGTAAACAGCTCTGAGAGTGCTTTGGGTAGTGAAGGGTGGGGTATAAATCCAATCTCCTCTTCTTCTTCTTCTTCGCCCTCAAATCTCCAGGTATTTCTGAACCCGGAGTTGGCAACCCTACAGTCAGACATCACATTCGAGCAGCTTTTTATTGCCATGGGTAAAGCAATCAATGAAATCACTATTATAAGCAGGGCTTTTTTTGTAGAAAACACAGGGGAGGGGAAGGGAAAGGAGATTGTAAACAGCTCTGAGAGTTCTTTGGGTAGTGAAGGGTGGGGTATAAATCCAATCTCCTCTTCTTCTTCTTCGCCCTCAAATCTCCAGGTATTTCTGAACCCGGAGTTGGCAACCCTGCAGTCAAACATCACATTTGAGCAGCTTGGGTAAAGCGATCAATGAAATCACTATTATAAGCATGTATTGCCCACGCTTTAAATGCAATTGCTTTCATTCAAACCACGAAAAGCTCTAAACCGGACAGTACGCTGGCAAGCCGGAATTCTGCGACAGTCAAGAAATGGAACATTCTCAGCGGCTAGGTGATTCGCTTTTACAAAGTTGTGCTTTCGGCCGCACAAATGGAATAGTGATGGTTCCTCCAAATCCATTTCTCCAACCCAAATATCCAAAATATGAAATGAATCCAAACATGCCTGGCACGGACTCAGGCATAAAAGGATCAGAGTGTATTTTTGATCAAGCGTGTCAGAGCGTGAGAGATCTGCATAACGCCGAACGGTTGGAGGATGGGAGGGGAAAAGGCAGGCTGCCAAGGAATACTTTTACTGATCAGAAGGTTCCGAAGCAGAGACAGCTCTCAACCGGGGACTTCAAAGCATCCTTATGTAACTGAAGCTGTATTGATAACAAAGAAAGGAAAACCAGAATTAGGAGCTCCTGTAGTGATTAATTCAAAAGTGCATGAACAGACACACACCCGCAGGTATGGAATACCTGCCTAACAGGAGGAACAGACGTACTGAGGTCAAACAAGGATATCCCAGAGCACAGATCTGGTCTGCTTTCGTCTCAGTGTTCGTCTCAGAATGAGTAGCCCAGGCCTGGCTTTTAAAATGATGGACAGGGACCAGTAGTTGCCACGTAAACGTACGGACTCTCTTCGAAGTCCGAGCTCTTCCTTCCTCGTTTCTTAATCCATCGCTCAGTGGAAGCGGCACAGGAATCAGAACAGCATTAAGGTTTATTTCAACAGAAACGGCAGCGTGCGACCAGTCCAAATTGCATTCTGTCGTTTTTCTTATTTCTTCCCCTACTTTGAAGGGGGGGGGAAATCTATGAGCACCAATCGGCAGACTGAAGGTCTCTACAAAAGACGTTTGACATTGCTTCCCATTTAAGAGCTATCCTAAAAATTGCTATACTCTGCTATACTCTGTAAAAATTAGCATGTGGCTCCCTTCATTAGCAGTTGGGTGTCTCCACCGTGAAAATTAATACGGGCTTATTTCGCTTGCCGCCTTGACCTGGATAGCTCGGGCTAGCCAATCTTGTCAGATCTTGGAAGCTAAGCAGGGTCGGCCCTGGTCAGTACTTGGATGGGAGACCACCAAGAAAGCCAAGGGTCACGACCAATGTTCCCTCTAAGCTGTGGAGTCTTGTGAGCAAAAATTCTACCTTGTGAGCTACTGGCATTAAAGTTGCGAGCCAGCAATTTGGCTGTTGCATAACTTAGTTTCCTCTGGAGCCACCCCTTCCTGAGCTAAGACAAAAATGTGTGAGCCAGAGGCTAAAAAACTGTGAGCTAGCTCACACTAACTCAGCTTAGAGGGAACACTGGTCATGACCTGGAGGGAGTCAACAGCAAACCCACCTCCAAAGGTCTCTTGCCTTGAAAACCCTACAGGGGTCGCCATAAACTGGCTGCAACTTGAAAAAAAAGAAAGACATCCACTTGAGGATAGGAGAAGATTCGGGAACGTTCGGGTGCTCTCCTACCCATCATCCCCGGAGGCAGGAAGTAGGCAGATCTTCCTGTGGGAGGGCGTGCCCACCACCCTCAGTCGTTCAGACGTTACTGTGATAGGTCCCGTGGCCTCTCTTCGGCCATTCGCTCTCCACCCATTTCAGCAGCATTTTCTCCACGTCGGCTCGTCGGTATAATTGGCACAGACTGATCAGCTGCTCCACCGTCCGGTCACTGTTCCGTAGCAAAAACTCCAAGGTGGGGCTCTGTTGCCTCTGCTCCAGGAAACACAACTCGTCGTAGGTCATCCCCCATTTGCTCGCAAAGTTTCTCCAGTTTTTCACCGTGGGGTGGGAGGGGTCCAGCTTTATCCTCATCATGTACAACAAGTCCTCGTCGTTCAGCAAATCGCTGATGGTGGGTTGGCGAGACACGCATGACGAGCAGACGCCCTTTTCCGTGCGCGGATTCGTCAGAGCTAGAATAAACGGTTACAGGACAGGGTTAATGGCTTGGCTTGCGACCGCATAAAACCGAGTGTTTGCAACAATGAATTATAGAGTCACAGAATCATCAAATCCCAGAGTTGGAAGGGGCCATACAGGCCCTCTAGTCCAACCCCCTGATCAATGCAGGATCAGCCTAGAGCATCCCTGACAAGCGTTTGTCCAGCCGCTGCTTAAAAACGGCCAGGCAGGGGGAGCTCACCACCTCCATAGGCAGCTGATTCCACTGTTGCACGACTCTGACTGCAAACAAGTTTTCCCTAATATCCAGCCGGTACCTTCCCACCCGTAATTTAAACCCACGATTGCGGGTCCTCTCCTCTACTGCCAACAGGAACAGCTCCCTGTACCCATCAGGGGAGAAAGAACCCGAGAAAGAAGATAGCACCAACGAAAGCGAAGAAGAAGGTGCAGCGACAGGTTCAGACGAAGATCCGGACTCAGGGGAGAAAGAACCCATCAGGGGAGAAAGAACCCAAGAAAGAAGACAGCACCAACGAAAGCGAAGAAGGTGCAGCGACAGGTTCAGACGAAGATCCGGACTCTAAGTCAGGGGCAGTTGCCCCGAAGAGAAGCTATCATTTGAGAAAACAAAAGTATAAGAAAAAATGGGATGTTATTACACTTTGAAAACTCTATATATTTTAGTAATTAATTCTTATAATGCTTTTTAAAATAGGTCAAAACTAGAGGTGGCTTAAGTTACTCTATAAGCTAAAAATAATTGTTAGATGACCACAG